ACAGATACAAATAACACCAGCATGGATTTACTAATAGATTAGTGGCAGTTGGAGGTCTTAAAAACACATGTAGATATTATGATTGCTTGATACAGCAACAAATTCGACCGAAAATCTGATCAAGATGGTGACATGTGAATGAATGAAAAAAAATCCCTGACATAGACAGATATATGATGAAACTAATTTGCAAAAACTTAGAGAATTTCAAATTTTCTTTTAGAAGGAAATGTTGGAAGGATAAGTACCAAACCTAACTAGTAAAGCATTACTTTACAATAACAAGGCTAGCAGTAAATTGGGCAATTTACATGCATATCACACAATTCTTATGTATTTACATATCTCTAACACCTATCTTTCATATTTACATACATAACACTGAAGTCTTTAATATCACATCAAAAACTTCATTATTACTTACCTTTTAAAAGTGAAATACACCTTTTCATGCACAGATTTAAGACGCCTAAGTATTATAAATGTAAATACAAATTTAAGGTGTTTGATATATAAATACAAAAGAGGTGTGTAGTATGTATGCAAATTTCCCAAATAAATATAAGTTAAAACAAGTGCCTTTAATGATTTCCTTTTATTTATATATTAATGTATTTATGAATTTGTGTAAAGTTATCATGTATTCATAAAATAATGCTGATTTATGAGGGCTTTCTTGCAAATCATGAATCCTTTATTGCTGATTGCGTATCTTGAATTCTTGATAATAGATGCAATGGGAGAAAATATGGAATTGCCGCAGCCAATAACAAACACAGCAGAGCCGCAATACCAACCCACCAAGCTCTATGTGGGATTCCAATAAATAGCTCCTCACAAACTGGAAAATTTTGAAAATTACAAGTATCAAGTGCATGAATTATAAAATGGCATACAAATAAAATATGAAAAAAATTTCATGGCAGCAGAAAAAAAAACATCAAAAAGGTAACAATTAGGTGGTGGTAGAAATTTGCTAATAACAAATATTACGGGCGTTATTTATTGAGTACTTCTCTAAGAAATTGAAAATAGTAGTAACCATGAAGATAATGAAGGAGTCCACTAAATTAGTTGGGGAGGTTTTTTTTTTTTTTTGAGAGTTGGCAAATTGAAAATCCAATGTAATTTAGCATGGTGTAGTTTGGAAGTTGGCAAGTTGAAATTCCAATATCAATATAGCATGGTGTGAATCTTAGAGTTATATATTGTAAATTGATTGAGTTGATATTTGTCAATGGTATCAAATGAAATGAAAAAAATTAAAAATAAAATAAAATTGATTAGGTTTATTCAAAATAAAATTTAGAATAAAGAAAAAAGATTATTTTAATAAATTAATTATAATATATTTTCAACATAATAAAACTTCAAATAAAACATGTTATATAAATAAATTATAATTTCAATTGATATATGACTTATAAACTTTATCAGGCTTCTTAGCAACTTAATGGTTGTCAATAAACACAAATAAGTCATCGCTAATTAATGACTAGTCATTAAACATTTTGAGGGTCATTGTAAAGCCCCCATCTAGCAAGTTTAACTAGCATTTGGAGATCTTTTGGTGAGCATCGGAAACTGGTTTTGAGAAATTTTTAAATTAATTTAAATGCTATCTAAAGGTTATTTTAATATTTATTCGCAGCCGGTCAAATGAAAAGAAAAAGCTAATAAATTTGTGAATTTTTCATTGTAAAATTTTTGCGAAGTGTTCATCCAAACATTCCAAACTTCAGAAGCTTCACCTTGGTAATATCTCTCTTTTTTAACCCTAGGCTTTTCTAATTGATTTTTAAAGTATATAATCAATCTAATGCAAAGTAAAAAAAATGATCCCTTATTCATTATCAAAGTTCAAGAGAACTTGGGCTTTCATATTCAAACCTCATATTTAATTTTTGGATAGAATTATTCAGGTTGTAAAGATTTATCTACCTACTTGCTAAGTGAATGAGCTTGAACTTGCAGTAGTAAACCAGTTAGTGGAGTCATAATTCCTGAAGAGAATCGGCATGGATGTATTTAAATTAAATGTAAAACAAAATAAAAATTTATTACATCATATCCTTGTAGCTTATATTTTTTTACTTGCATATTAAACTAAATTGCTTAGCTTGAAAGTTTATTTGGTGATTAATGTCATGTTTTACGCATTCGTGTATGGTAGATTAATTTACTTGTGCTTAAAATTGAATATCATAACTTACAAGATCTCATATTGAATAAAGATATGCCCTTGTAACTTTGGTGTTTCACAAGTTTATGAGATCATAGTTTATGTGGTGTTTTAATCTAGTTGTCTTAAGCATGCACGTTATAACACTTTCACGTCTAGGTTTAAATTATTGTATGTCTACTAGTTTGTTTATGCTTAGTTCTCAAATGATTAAAAAATTTTGAAGCTTGAGAGATCCATTATGTTGTTAGATAAAAGAACATTCATCTAGGTGTGGTTGATTATGTTTATCGCTGAATGTATATAAAATTGATCTATCAATAGGTTATCATAAGGTATTAACACAAAAATTTATAGATCATGTTGACATTATAAAATCTAGGCCAAACTCTTTTGGAAATCATTCACGTAACATATGCACTACTGGCATGATGACATTTACAAAAAATTAACAATCTTTTATGATAATTCTAAGCTTCGTTGATGTGGACATGAGATATGTTGACTTCAAGCTGGAGATAAGGTCATGGTGTATCAAAATCTCCATTTAGAACCTTTAAAAAATTGAATACAAGGTTAAATTTTTGCAACACATTGATACAAATAACTACAAACTGAAAGTTCCAAAAAATTATGGTTTTAATCCAATTTCCTTGCAAGCCAATCATCAAATCATTGAATTAAGCTCTTTTCACCACTTCCTTATGATCTGTATTCAATCCTCTATGAAATACTTCTATGTGGCTTGCTCCTAAAGCTATTTTAGATAATGAGATTATATCTATTGTTGCTGGTTGATTCTATAGATATCATATTCATTCATATTCATTGGGAAGACACACCTGATTGTAATGATTCACGAATAAATTTGCAAGGTCACAAAATTTATATCTGAATTTTGCTTGATGAGTATCAAATACTAAATACATTACAGTCAAATTTGCCTATGCTTAGCATAAGTGATGAATATCTTTGCATTTATTCTCATCTGTGGCATTGCATCAAGCATTTATTCCAGCCCGACTATTTTATTTTTTCTCTTCATTAGTTGTTTTTCTTTTAATTTTTTTTTTTTTGAATTTTTTTTTGAATTTAGTAGAATGTGAGTGATAATAGTAGAAAAATTTTGGTTTTGTATTTCCTAACCTTAAGTAAGTACATATGATAGGCATAATTTCAATATTGATTTAAAGAAAATTAATTTAAATTGTGGATTGCAATAATTTAAAGGCACAAGGGATTTGGCCTTGAATTGATGCAACATTATATGGGTTCAGTTAGTTGCAGCAATTCTATTTGACAGTGATCATTTATCTCGGTTTTTGAGGGTTGGGCAATAGTTTTTGGACTTATTCCACACATTGGTTGGTGGCTTTACATGGTTATGTATTGGCCTCTTTTGGGTGGTGGAGATTTAGAATTATATATAATAAATGTTAGCTGATTATTAGGACTTTAGAAGATACCCTGTAAATCTTGCTAGTTTTAACCGCGATTCCATATTCCTATAAAGCTTGTTTGTTGTGATTGGCTGTGCTTCCCAATTCTCAGTGGCTATGAGTAACTTTTGTGGTTCTTATAAGCGGCCATATGGGATGCAGTTCTTAATGGGTGACATATGGAGACTGGTGGTAGAAAAAATATGTGAGCTGCAGTTGTTTGGCTGACTATGGAATTTAAAATTAAATGTATAATTTTTTTTAATTAACTTAAACTTCAAATTGAAATTGATTCCACACCAATCTTATCCACTTGGTTTGGTTATGAAGAGTTTATAAATAATTGTATTGAGGCATGAACTTTGGTTTTTTTTTTTAATAAAACAATTTATCTTTAAAAGTTTAGTTTGCTGGTTAAAAGTTAAATTTGTGATTCATCCACCTGTGGTATAAGGATTAATATCTACTTTTTGGGAATAAGAAAGTCCTCTTCTTGTAATTGGGTAAGGCTTTTTTTTTATTATATATTTTCATTCATTGTTTTATTTCACTGTTTGATATAGACTTATTTAATGCTTCTAATTTTGCTCAAAAGTGATATGTTGCAAATTAAATTTGTAATACTTAAAATGAATTTGCTTGTCGATTTCATATGTTTTCAATTTTTTGTTGAAATTATCAAATTATTTCAATCATTTCATTATCATGGTGTTCTAATCTAATATTACATATTTAGATTTAAGGAAAATAAATTACTAATCATTAATTGGCTAAGATTTATTTCTCAATTTTTTTTCAAGTATTCATGCTATGCATTATATAGACTGCATTCGAAAACTGTAACCTTGACAGCCCTGCATTAGAAATTCTATAAATCTAGCGTTAAATTTGAATAGAATAGCCACTCCCTGGACCCAAAGCTATTGAAAGCTCTTGCATTGGGTGTATTATTATTTTTTTACAAGTAAAGCCTTTAAACTATAGTATAGTGCTCAAGCAATTTCTTTTGCTTTGAAAGAGGCTTTGCCATGCCAAAAATTATATATTTCGATATTAGTCTTAGTTTGGGTTAGCCCAACCTAATAACTATCATTAATTAGCTAGTCACTTGTATACTGGTCGGTTTTACAATGATAATGATATGTCCCATACTGAATAAGTTAACTCGAATTCTTCTTTCGGAAATGATAAAGCTTAAACCTAAATATATGGAAAAGCAATGATAATTATTTTTCCACGTCATCTGCATTTTAGTAGACTCTCTCTTAATAAGTAGGCAGCAGGAGTGCATACCAACAATATCAATGCAACTATTAATATAAGAACTGATAAGGGAAACATATAGCTATGGCATCTTCCTTTAAAAAAATAGGACTTACTGATATTAAACAAGACAAGTTCTTGTTCCTGCACGTTTGGCTTCGCAACAATACCAGCAGGTTCCACAGTTACCAGAACAAGTGCCGTATTCTCACCGGAATTCTATAGCAAAAGAAAGGCATGAAGAGAATTTAAAATAGTAACTCGGCAATAATAAATATCTAAATTCGGAGGACTAACCAATTTCTTGCTGTCAAACTTGAAAATTATTTTTTCTGTATTTAATAATCTTCTACTTGTTCTCATTTGCAGCTCAGCTAAATTTTTCTTCAAATCAAGGGAAAAACTAGCAGGTATCTGTTATTAAAAATAAAAAATATAAAATAAAACCACTAGAATGATAAAACAATTGTGTCAAATAAACTATTTTGAGATAAAAGCCATACAGAAGCGGGATACGATATCTTGACTTCATACCAAGATGATTCTTTGAGACCATTGAGTTTGTAAAAACGTTGACCCATCTTTAAAGGAAGAGTCTCTCTTTGAAGCTCCTGAGCAACATTCAAGACCTTGATACCAACTCTGAGATTTGCAAGAAAGGAGAATGATGAATGAAATTATTTGAAGGATTCTTAGATAACATATTTCTTGTAGCAAAATACTTACTCTTGTATATGAGTGAAAGATAAGTCCGCATCAGGCAGAGAGAAAGAGATGATTATGAAGATTTGAAGGAATGTAAGCCAACACCATCGCACATAAGCCATTGTGTAGCTGGAGCACTGTTAGTAGATATGCAAGCTACTTTCCTAATTAAAGAAGATGAATCTAGCACATTTTCATCTCAATCAACTGGAAAGTTGTTCACAGCATTAGGTCTTCTTTCTCTACAGACAATGGAGACTTGAGCTAAGAAACTTGAAAACTAAGGATCCACTTTGCACTCAGATGGGCAGAGCAGAATATAGGAGAATTCATGCAAGGTAATCAAGTGTATAAAAACTATGAATTGCCTTAAATAATGACAAGTTTGATGACAATTAGTGTTAGCTAATGAGAAAACATGAAATAATTTGAAAAAGAACCAGCATGGTATGTGTGAAGAAGTATATTATAACTGAACCAGAACAACTATTATTGTTGTTACAGATGCAGAAATATAAACCATTTGAGGTAAACTAATGAAACTTCGTTTCCATCCATCCATCCATTGTGTTGATCTAATAAAACTTGAATTGCACCTACGATCTAAAACTAGCACAGGGAAATGCTACATTAAACAAACTTGTCTCGATAAGTACCATTAAATTTAATTTAGCCTTATATTTAATAAAATTAGCTAGCCCCATGCTGATAATGTTTGGTTCATTTAAATTAGGCCATACCAGAGTTGACCCAGTCTAATTGACAACCCTACTACTTTGTATTGTTTTAATAAAATTTTAAAAAAGGACTGAAAAAAGTTATAGAAATCTTAATCGTGAAAACAACAAAACTAACAACTTCTATTATGAAACTAATAAAACCCACCACTTATCATAAAATAACCACAAATAGTAACTGTCATAACCTTTCAGTCACATAAGACTTCAAACTCAAGAAGTCCGCAACCTGAAGCCATGAAATTTGATCCCATATAAACCACACTAGTTGTAACTGGTATTCCCCTATTTGCCTGTGGATATTAAAGAAATCATAAATCTTCTCCAAATTATAGCAGCCACCATGCCCAACCTCACCATGTATTATTGTTTTGGAACGCTCCCCTAAAGATGAAAAAATGTTCTGCTTTTTTATTCAAATCTAAAAGTGTCCATCTTCACTTAGTATACATAAGGCAATGTAGTCACTATGAATTTTTGTGCCAATGAGATTGAAACAACTATATTTCTTTTGCGCCACATGAATCATTTGCACCCTTTTGTCATTCCGTGTCCTCCACTCCAATTGCTAATTGAAGATGTTGGAAGCATAACAAAGGCTTGATACAAATGGTCAACAAGGGATCCTGAGCTCAGACATTGACAAACCACATAGAGGTTGCTGCAGTTTCATATCCACAAATTTGCATAGAAATTTCAATAAATAGATGAGCATCAATTCATTCTAATCCATTGCTAAATAGCCCTCACCAAATTTCTAAATAGAACTTTCACAGTTATTTGAGGCAGGAGAGGGAGGAAGGGCAAGATTGGCAAGGGATTCTACCTCTTAAGGAGTCTTCCTATGCATCCTAGGAATAAAAAATTCAGAAGCCCTCCTCAGCGAAACAAGAGTAGATTTTCAACCTCTATAAGTCCTATGGACCATAGAAACTCACTTGCAATATACATGTTTCCTCTTTAACGATTCCAATAGTTGAATTTCAATCAACATAAGTTCTTCACTAAATCTAAGTAGTTGACTTCCAGCCACAACTCCTTCACAGCCCCAATCTGCTTCCAACTTTGATGAGTTCTCCTATGCAGGCATAGCATCCAAATTTCAACTTTCAGAAGTAATCTTTGGTAGTCTAAGGAGATAAAATCCAATCTTTAGGAGTTTTCCTCAATTATACCAAAAGTTGACTTCCAACCTTCAAGAGTCCTCTAAATCAAGGAAGTTAAGTTTCAAATTTCAACAAATTCGCCTCCATTGCAATGCTCTCAAAGCAACCATAACCATTCTTATCTCACATATTTTGGTTAACCTTTAATTTTTAAAATTTTTCCCTCTTGCCAATTTAGAATAAAATTGCAAGTTTTAAATATGTTAGCTCCACCAATGTTCTGCTGAATACTTTTTTCTTCTAAAATATGCATAACAGCAAAGCTGCATCTTCTAAGATCAATTTTCTCAACCTGCCAACTAACAGAAAATAAAATAAAGAGACTAACCCATGATTTAAATAAGACAACATAGAGCCAATCCAGTAACCTACCGTGCAGCAGTATCCTCGACATTAGTATTTTTGACAGTAAGAGATTCATTCCAATTTGAATAATTTAGTAGGAGGATTTAACCTAGATCCTGCCAAACAGAAAAAACCCCAAATTTCATCAATCCTACAGAATTTTAAATCCCGTTTCTCTTCCATTTTTATCTTAAATCCCGGACTCCGTAAATCCTACTGTTACTAAATTGGTAGCCGGTTTTAAGCAGGATTTGAGCTGAATCCAGCCAAACGGCAAAAGACGCCTGCGTAAATCCTGAGCTCCTGATAGTCCCAAAATGACGCCGATTCGTGATAAGAATCGGCGGATTTAGTAAACGCGGGATGAGCGAAAAATAAGAATGGCGCGAACAGGCTTACCTTCCTCAATTGTTTTTGGTTGGAGCGGAGTGGATGGATGAGAAAGGTGGGAGTTTTGGTGTTCTCTGTAAGCCGCGATCCTGAGGTTGGCTTCCCAGCTAGCTCTAATGGCGGACTGTATCACGAAGGTTCGTTCACAATTTTAAGCGAAGCCCGGTCTCGAGGTAGGGAGGGCAACCTAATTAATAAATTTTAGTTAATTTTATGTAGTTTTATTAAATAAATTTTAGTTAATTTACCTGATTAATAATTAATAATTGATTTTTTTAACTTTTAAATTATTTAATGAAATTCTATTTAAATCTTAATTTATATAATATTAATCAATTAATTCATTAATGATTAATATTAAATTATTATTGAACAAGTAATTAGTTTATAAAAATTATTAATTATTAATTAATGCAAATATGCACTTTGATGTTTTGGATATAATTTGTATTTTTTGTTATTTAATATTTATTTTTGGATGTTTACTCTGATAAATCCCTTTAAATCCTTCTAATACTATCAAATAATTTCTCAGAATTTATCAGGATTTACTTATTAACATATTGAACTATTTTCAAAATTCAAAATTTAATCACTTAAGCATTTGATAAATATGGATTTACTTGATTTATTAAATCCTATTTAAACTAAATCTTACTCAAAATTTAAATAGTTTCGACGTCATTTTTCCACTATTCAAAATTTAATCACTTCGGCATTTGATAAAGCTAAGGTTATGTTGTCACCATGTTTGTTGGTATTGGTAATAAAATATGGCCAAGGACTATGGGATTGGTAATAATTTATGGTGATCATAGGGAGGCATTACTAATGGTCAGATCGAACTTTATTTTAGAGGTGAATATAACCATGGTTATAAATGAACTAAGTGATCAACAAATTACTTATGGCTTAATATGACAACAACTAGTTTGAGATTATGTAATTAAGTAATCAAATAAGCTTGAACATATTTATAAGAATTTGGTTCTTAACAAGTAAAAAGTTTCAACAACTTGTTGATTGATTCAATTCACATGCTTGTCCAACATAATTGTTTTAAAGCTTTTGAATATTATCAATTAAAGCTTGATATAAAGTATTATTAAGGCTCATTATAACACTTTATATGAAGCTCAATTAAAGCTCATTCATGATTATTTGAATTTCATCTTTTATTTGGGGCATCTAGTCCCAAATCATTAGAATGTTTTATAATAGTACTATTTATAAGTTGGAAAGGACTAAGTTGACATACTAAGTTTGTAACCGATATGGCTTCGGGGAGGTTGTTTAAACCTAACGTTAAAAATTATATATCAAAAAAGAAACAACAAATGAACTTTTATTAAATTTACAACTTGTTAAATTAAATTCTTATTTTCTTAAGCTCGATAAGATTGACTCGTTAAAATTTAATAGACTTGACTCAATAAGAGTTCTTTATATTTCTAAATTTGCTACGCATTTAATGTTGATTGGTTATAAAATGAATAAAGCTAAAAAAATATGAATTTAAATAAAGTAAGCATGGACACTATCACAAAAGCTTTGATTAGGCTTAAATAGAACTTGAATATATGACTTTGGTAAATGAACTCAAATTAGCTTGCAATTTGGCTTGATTCAGATCATTTACAACCCTATATGTACCTATATGTAGCATAACATGAACGCATCACATAAAGTACCGCAAGTGGGTTATGAAGGCCATAGAGGATGGTTTAATCGGTTCTTCTTTGTTCACTCTAAGGCAACATGATTTAAAGCTGACAAACAAAGCAGTTCATGAAAGTTATTGGTCGACACTATTTTGGTTAGAGGAGTTGTCCGTTAGAAGCTGTCGGTCGTCCGAATCCCGTTGCCCGCCTCGGAAGAATATAAAAGAGCATTATATCTCAAATCCCGTATCTATCCCGAAAAACACAAGACTCGAGGGTGAGCCTACGAAACTATTTTATTTGCTGACAAGTTCTCCTATTTAATATGAAGAATTAAATAAGATTTATATTAAGCTGAGTTCGGAAAAACTTCCTATAAAGGCAAACCCTTATAGTTAATTACATCTTAGATAACCGAAGTCACCTAAGAAAACTCTCGATAAAAAATCAGAAAATATTATCTTCAAAGAGGTCAAAATGATATGACTTTTCAAGATTGGACAAAGAGGTGAGAGGTGTGAAAGAGGAATGATTCAAATTTAGAATATTTTGTTATAAAGTCCAAAGGAGGTAAAACTAGGAGACGTCATAGATCCGGAGGAGAACCTCAGTAACTTCCCAAGTTATCATATAGTTTGGCTTCAATTTTGAGGAAAAAATTATTTAAATATTTCACCTTGCCAATTTTATTTATTTAGGACTTACATTTGTGTAGAACGATCACACAAATAACCTGGAAGATGTGAGGATTTAGGTCGTGATGAACGACAACCTCGAAAACCTAAGATGAGTTAGGGTTTATATTGTACAACTGAGCTATACAAAGGCCTAAAGATAGGGTGAGGATTTATGTTGCATAAGCAAACAACCTCAAAATTCTATGGCTTGTTGTTTAATTCTCTAAGGAAAGATATATTATTATATATCATCCTGCTGATGAAGATGGCAGTGCTGCCCACAATGCTAGCTCCAAGCTCCTCGTCCTGACAAATTTAAGTTTTCTAATGTGTCAAATTATAATGTAAAATTAGATGTCCCTATGGTTAGAGTTCTTTAAATGTTACGAGGCATATTAAAGTTGATTAGAGCGACACCGGTTAGGATCTTACGGTTCCCTCGTTCGGGTACCACTATTTTCTATCAGATTCACTTAGTTCAAATTAATTTACTAAACTCAACTCAATGAGTTTCATACATTCATTTAGATCGTGGGAAGTCTCGCTAGCAACCGTAGGTTACCTCCTCTAAGGGATTCCCGATCATTCGATAGAGACGTCTTAATTTAATTGCAATTGTTGTTTTGTGATGTTTGTGATTAAATTTTGAGTTTGTTTTACATTTTGAATGTTGTGGTGGTGAATTTTATCTTAGTTGATTATAGTTTTGGTTTTATGGCTACCATAATAGTTTTGATTTTCATGCAGGGTGACATCATTGTTTAACATTGAAGTTTTGTAAGTATAAAAGTACAATGCAAAAAGTACAAGAAAAGACGGTACCGTAAAATGTAAAAGCGTACCTGGCGAGTCTTCTCGTTTCACCACCTGAAAGATCAGTACTTGCAAAGCATGTATATAATGTTGCAAGGAATGTAAATTGCAAGAGTAGATGAAGGTTTAGCTACCAAACCCTAAGCTATGATTTTATTGAATCTTGGTAGATCCTAGTGGATATTTTAGAACAAAATATGACAAGTCCAATTTGCTCTTCAGAATGTCCAATAGATTTCAAAATGCTCGAGGCATGAACTTAGACCACTTTGAAGACCTGTTGAAATATTCTGAGTTCATTTTGGACTTATCATATTATTCCATTAATCATCTGAGCTTGAAGTGTGACTACCCCATTGCTTAGTAAAACTTAGCAATTTAATTATCTCAAGGATAGAATACTCGATTAATCAATTGATGTTTCATTTAAGAGTTATGTGAGTGAGTGCTTCTAAGGGAAGTTTAGGTTATTTAAGATTGTGGTGCCCACAATTAAGGTCAGGATTGTAGTGTTTAAAGATGTTAATCCCCAATTATGTTATCTTCTAAATCCGATCAATTGAGTTTAGGCATCGAGCCTAGGTCACTTCTAATCCTTTAATAATCATGATAATTGAAATGATGATTATCAAAATTTTGATTTCAGTGATATGTATTCTTATCAAATAGTTAGACCATCCTCAACTTTGGGCTTAAGAAAAGTGAATTTCCATCTTTCCGACTTAAGCCCGTCACTTAAGAATCATCTGATCTTAGTTAACTACCAAGTCATGAAAACTAGGAGATTTATAATCTTGTTGACATTGTGCAAAGGTGGTGAGTGGGTTTCTACCTTTTAATCTCATTGTGTTTCAATCGTTCAAACATATTTATTAGGATCAAAATTACCCATTTTACCTTGGTTAATCCTAAATTTTGATTAAGGCACCAAAGTCTAAAATTACCACTTTGCCCTTTTGGGCACTTCACCTCATAATTCATTAAACACAACTCAAATTACTTTGAGGGTTTAAAGTGTCATATCCGTGAGGTAATTATACTGTTAAAGGAGAACATGTGGACCTCTCAAAATTTTAATTCAATTTAGATAATTATTTAAATTTAGAAGATAGGGTTTTCAAAGGTTAATTTATTTAATTATCCAAAATAAAGTTTGTATTTTGTGGAAAAGTTATTAGAGGTCTCCTAAGGTCAGAGAAACACCTAGACAAGATTTCATGATTTTTTTTTTAAATTAAATAATTATAATTATTTTAATGGGAAAATGAGGAAAATCCTTTTTTTAAACCTTTAAAATTTATTTTTAGCTTAGGAAAAACTAGGAAAAATATTTTAATGAGTCTCAAGAGATCAGAAAACAATTGGAAATATTAAACAATTGGAAATATTTTGAAATGTTTTGATATTTTTGAGATTTTTAACTATTTTTAATTATTTTAAAATTCAAAATAAAGCTACAAAATTAAGTATTTTCTAAAAAATAATTTTTATTTCTACTAAGTACCCCTGATTACAAGGAACTCAGAAAATTACTTTTCATAAATTTCCCAAGTTTATTTAATTTATTATAATTATTTTTGTACAAAAATACGAGGTTTCTTTGAAAGTCAACTTTGGTGCTTAAACTTAGTCAAATAATTTTTAAATTTTTGCATTGAATAGACTTGATTTTTATGAACAATGTAAAATTGATTTTGTTAATTTTTTATAAGTATTTAATTTACATAAATTAATATAAGATATTTGCATTTAATTAAATATAGAAATTCACAAGGTAATCCAAAGCATCATAATATTATTCCTAGACTTCTCTGATCACAAGAAACATACTAAAATTAATCCCATAATTTTCCAATTGATATCTTGATCTATAAAATTAAAATAAGCCAAAATGGCCACAATAGATTGAAAATTAGGGCTAGGAGCATAGAGATTCCCTCTGACCTTGGAAAAATTAGAAGACACCCTCTTTGTGATGAGGAATGAACCCTAAAATTTTCAAGCCATGGTGAAC